GCTTTAATTAACTTCGCTGATTTCTCATCATACATTTCGATTTCTCGTATTATTTCATCATCTGATCGAAAATGTAATTCACATACCTATAAAAGAAAATATTCAAAAATCAACTTGTTGTGAGTACAAAAGTTAGATGCATGTTAATATTTAGTAACAGAAGTCAATAAGCCCTATGATTTAAATAAATAATTTGATACATAAATACGAATTAAAAAACCAGTAATATCATTTCAATTACGTGTATAATTTAAGTAATTTGTAAAATCTGGAATGCTCATCATAATGATTACAGCTTTATTTACATTTAAAGAAAATTATATATTTGAGATAATTGTTTACAACAAACACTGGTTACCAAATACAAATAATTACCTTGAATACATCATACCAAACTTTCATATATCATTACAAAAATTTTAAAATGAAACCTATTATGATTACTTAGTAGTTCCTTGTCATATAAATTATGATAAATTTGGAATAACTACAGAATCTGCCTGCACAGTATACTAGAAAGCATTTACAAATTATTGGCATTTATGTAACTACTAAATTTAGAATTATTCCTGTTATATGGAACTTTATTTCATTCATAAAACTTTGAAGGAAAATATTTTTTTGAAATGATTAAAACAGGCAAGATTAAAATCTTTCAAACATAAAACTTCTTACCCACAGATCAAAATCTAATATCGTAAGCATAAACATCACATACCTATCAATAAAAGTAATAAAAAAATGTAAAGATACAAAACATAAAAAATGCAGTAAAATTGAACTTACTCTGGTATGTTTAGTAGGTTGAAAGCCATCTTTTCTTCGTAGACTCCTTATCCATTTCATCCGGAGTTCAGTCTCATTTGGAAACTTGAATACAGCCACTTTTGGTCCGTTTTTATAATTACCACGACATGTGGCTACAGCACATTTATGAGGCATCGTATGAAATTATAAAAGCACGAGACAATATATAAAAAAAGCACGAGACAATATAAAAACTCTGTCGCTAACGCAAATAACCGCTCCACGTTCGTCGCTCTTGGCTCAACTACGGGGCTTTGAATTTGTTTGAAGGAGCGAGGTGAGTCAGAGACGACTACCTGTGACGTCAGAGCTTCCCCTCGCTTCAGTGTCCCGGCTTCCTTCTATAAGGAGGTGTTGGTTGGGTACGCTGCCTCAACCCCATAAGGCCGAATATTATCGGCCAGAGGGTTGCAGTACACTCGTTTATTACATTACACTCTTTGTTTAATGATAGGATTCCTTAACTTTGAAAATAACCTACTACTTTTTGTTCTGCGAAAGGCAGGTCTCAATTATTTTTTTTTTTTTTTTTTTTTTTCAAAATACAGTGAAAAGATAGAACAATAATAACTCATGAAAAACGTAGACTATGGAGAATCAGTCCTGCATACATCATACAGAACAACAGGTGTTATGTTTAAGTTGCCGCATCCCTCTAGAACAGAGTTTTCTTAAACTGTGGGTCGCAACCCCTATTGGGGTCGAGGGACCTGCAGCAGGGTATCGCCAAAAATTTTATCAATTTTAATATTTCTTTAACATATTACAGTAAATTTTCAATTACCAAATATTTTTACATAATGCATCTGAAAATAAGTAAAGATAAGACAATACAGACAAAGAAAAAACGAAAAGGTTTGACGCATTTTTTATAATAGAAACGTTGACTTTGCTTTAAAAATTAAAGTTTGTGACCTAAAACTGCAATAGTATATTACGTTACAAGTGAAGAAACTGACAGTTTCACTCAGGCGTGTGTTGGATTTGCGGAATGATTATGATTTCGTAAATATTATGGGGACCCCACACCAAATAGTTTAACATAACTAGAATATAACTAGCGCTAAATCGCGCAGTTTCACAGATGATAGGATAACACATATGTACCATATTTTGAATCTGGAATCTTATAAATTATCTTTAAACTGACAAATCTGTCTTTAAACGCGAATATTCAACGTTTATGAAATTAATATTTATAAATTAAAACATTTAAAACTAAGCTGTGCTAAAAATTAACTATTCAGTTGTTGCAAATAGCAATAATTAACTATGTTTATAATTTTTATAACTATGTTTATAACTATGCCTTCGTAGCCACATTAAAAATCTTGTAGAAGAATTTCCCTCAACATTTTCTTCTCTAACCCTTACAAGGTCAGGGCCTTCGCTGATCTGTTTGCTTAAAATACAGAAACAGAAACACTGTACTAGGATCTGTACCTAGGCAGTCTCGGCCACGGGGGTATAAAATTTATGAACTTGGTGGTTCTGAAGGCTCTGGGAAAGGTCACTTATTGGCAGGCCCCGGAGTCTGGCACGTCCTAGCGCGGCGTGTTTCTAGTAACCCGGGGGTCTTCCCCGGGATCGCTGGGTAATGTCCCGCTGCGACGGGCTCGCCCAAGCAACTGGTAGGAGCATTAGACGACCGGTGCTGCCTGGGGCCTGTCCCCAGGTGGTGCGCTGCTCTCCTGGAGGGTAATAGTGGAGGTTGAACCTCCACGACGTGCCCAAAGGGGGAGTAGACCTGTAGTGTGGGATTAAGTTCCCGGAACAGGGAAGCCAAAATCCTCTAGTCCATTAACAAACAAACCGGTGTAAAAGTTTTAAACGATACCGATTTTAGTTCCTAACAAAGTAGCTGCCATTTACCTCTCAGTCACCTTCCAAAAAATGAAAAAATGAGGAACCACGAAAAACATATTATGACAAGACCATCTACAATAAAGATGAACTAATTACAATTCATTTGGCAAACAGTACCTTAGGGAAAGAGTCGAAGAGAGCTTTGCGATCTATGCCGTACGGACGACCGTTGATCGTTTGAATTTAAGGAGCGCTATCATGGAGGTAGGAAAGGGAGGAGGGGCCATTCCGCGCTAGAAGTGAAGCACTGCTTTGAAGCTTGGGTCACCAGACGGGGTGTTATTTGTTTACATTCAGAAGCTCGCTTGACAAAATTCTGATAGTATTTCGACACACGACAGTTCCATAGAAATCAAAAAAGGGATACTCTCGCATGAAAGAAACATTCATAGTGTGATGGATAACAGCAATTTGTATAGTTTACTGACATTTACGCAAAAATCACATCTTGGTTATTTTTCGATAACAAACAACAGCGATTTTGATTATGAATTTGTTTTATAAAATTTTAAGCTGTTGCACTACAAAAATATAGATTTTAAGAAAATTGCTAAAAGAGATCTGCCAAAATTTATTTTCTAGAAGATTTGAAAGTTTGAAACTTGATGGCTAAATGTAAATATAAAATTATGTATGTTAAAATATTTGTAATTAGGCACATAGGTCAGATTAAGTTTTTATTAAATAGAGTAACGCATGCAAGGGCTATCTGCCTAAAGAGAGAGATGCCATCGTGGGGGGAATTTTGAAGAAAAACTGACCTTGAGTGAGTATTAAAAATAATACTTATAATTTTCATTCAAATTATATTCATATATATTTTTTATGTAAAACTTTCGGGTGTATGCTAAATTAGTGAAAATTACTTTACACGAAAAATATAGTGAATACACAGAAATTAAAGATTCGCACATGCCGGAAATGATAAGTAGGAAATATGTGTGGGTATTTATGCATGTGCTTGCAAAAAGCATGTATCTGCCTTTGACAAAATACTTAAATATTCATTAAATTATTTATAAATGTATTTGAAATGAAGAATTTATTCACTTATAAACAACTGTGATAGTACTGTAAAGAAATCTAATGATTAAATGTATCTAATTTATAATGATTATAAATGTTATCTAAATATATAATAACCTTAATATTGAACTGTAAACATAAATTGAAATCCTGTTGACAAATACGTTATAAAACTATTTAAGCAAGAACTGTTCGTATTGGAAAGCAATCTGTTAAAAGGTATTGTAAAGCAAATGCTATGAGATGCGCACTTAAGAACGTAATAAAGAGTTTTGGAATATGTTTGGTGAAATGAAGGGTAAAAAAAAAAAAAAAAAAAAAAATCTGATAAGTATAATTAAAAGAATTATTCCCTTTACATTTTATAATAACTCAGTTACAAGTTTTAAATAATACTTAAAAAAAAAAAAAAAAAAAAAAAAAAAAAAAAAAAACTTATTTTATTCCCTTTCAGAAATGTTCAGAGAAAGTCAAATACTATTTTCCTAATAATTCTCTAATTAATTTAAAATGAACCGAATAGAGCATTAATTATAAATTGACTTACATTTTTCTATTTAAAAGAAGCCAAAAAAATCATGTCATATTTAAGAAAGTATTTTAGGAAGAAGCTCTATAAATAGAAAAGAAATAATGTATAATTTTAATATTAATAATACAATAAACTTTGATCTTAATTTTTGTACCTTAACCGAATAAAATCGAATTACCTTAATTTTTTTTTTCTAATGTAATTAACGAAAACTTGTGAAAATATTTCATTCAAATTAAACCATTCTGAGAAAAGTGTCCTGTGAAAAGTATAGCATTTAATTCCGTTCAGAATGAAATGTTGTTTTTTCACATACTTAGGACTCTGAAGTGTTGTAGAAAAAAGAAAATATATACATTTATATGTATATTTGCGACGTAATTACAAAAATATTTACACCGCCGAACGCGTCAAATCCCATTAGAACTTCAATTGGTAAATGACCCAATGTTTTGGTCACCACGTAGGGATCGCCGGTGCTTCAGAGCAGGGTACGGAGAAACTTGTTTAGGGCGACTCCTTCTTACTTCCTACCTCCATGAGCACTATATGGGGGGGGGGTTAGTAGTGAAAGTGTCAACGGCATTTGCTACATTCGTCAAATTACGTCTATTAATTCTGAGTTTACTGGTTCGAGGTCCTTTAAACGAGGATTTGTTGCGCATTACTACTTGAAAACTAAGACCAAGATATAATTCAATCAAAAATTTATTGTTTATTCTGCTAGATATGTGTCGCAGCAGATCCGAACATACGAGTAGAATGAAACGCAATATTGCGTTAATGAACACTCAGGCCATGCACTCACAAGAAGCCTGAACAGCGGAGAATATTCGCATTGCAATCGTAAAGAAATCATAGTGTCATTTTGATAATGGGCTGTGAAGTTATTCCAAATCAACTGGAAGTCTATATTTCTATTGCACTTAAAAGAAAGCTCTTTTAAGCTGGAACACTCAGTTTTTCTCAAAAAAATGTATGCAGATCTGGAAATACATAAAAGAAAACAGATGTTCACATTGTATAGATCAGAAAGTCAATTGTTAAAAACGAAGTTTTGCTCACCATTGTCGAGCTTACTGATTAATTTTATCATCTATGGCGAACCTTTTGACGAAATTTAAAAATTTCGGGAAATCTACAGAATAGCTGTATCACCCAATATGTTAGATGTGTATTTTTCCAACAATTTCATGGTTTTATTGTAAATAACATCTAATCCCTTTTTCACTAAAACTGCTATCTGCGTTTACATGAACTCTAATAGATTTGTTTTCACTCACTTAAAGGCTCATTAAAGATTAATTATTCTAACAAATCCGTTTGGCTACAAGTAAACCTTTATTCTGAATGCATAATTTATAATGGAAACGATGATTTCGATAATGAACAGGATTACCATGAGGAGCACGTGCAGCAATATATTCAGGAGCAGCTGTAGGTCCACAGAGGTCGCGGGATGTACGGGCATGGATGAGTGATTTCGATAATGAGCAGGATTACCCTGAGGAGCACGTGTAGCAATACATTCAGGAGCAAGTGTAGTAATATTCAAAGCCGAATGTATTCCATACGTCCAGTATTATACCCTTGAAAACCACTTCTAGAATAAAATGCTGGAGCAAGTGTAACGATATTCAAAGCAGAACGTATCCCAGAACGTACAGTATTAGACCCTTGAAAAACACTTATACCAGCATTACTCTCATGTACGTCAAAAATAATTTCTTCTGTAGCCTCACGAATGAATATGCTCGAACACCAGTCAGGCTTTTTGTAAATAGGATTCTGTATGTGTTTCATAAGTGCTAGAGCATCGGTCGTGGAGAACACATCAGGATAATCTTCAGTAAACTTGCAAAAATCTCCCGCACTAATTTTATCAAAATGTATCTCTTTCAGAAGCTCCTTCAAAGACCCATTTTCCTTATTAGCTATAGCCCATTCCGTAAGTGCATGTAGTAGTTTATACTCTGAAATCTCCAACCTTCTGCACTGCAAAATCTTCTGTACTGCTTCTAGAGTTACATTCTTAAATTCTTTCGACAGTAGCAGTTTTTGAGCATTTTTAGAAATAAAATTCAAACTTGCATCTTTTGCTTTGTACATATTAAAAAAAAGTGCTTTTGTCAGAATTGTCCACACTGTTTTATAATTCACTACTCTGGATATGTATTCTTCACATTCTATTCCAAGCTGTGGTACATCGTATCTTTCTGCTGCTTCATATGTATCAAAAGCACATGATTCATCTTCCAGATGGATGGTTTCCGCATAAAGACATCTAAAAGATAGAACAAGTTAATTTTTATTACAGAAAAATCTAATAAATCTTATTATCAACATCTATTATCGGTTAAAGTTTTCAATACTTAACATAAAACTCCCAAATCACGCATGCTTTTGATTCTGGAATTACGCGGGTCTCATAGGAGCCAATAAACTTCAAAAGACCCAAGTAATTATTTTAATCATCTCAAAACTTGACTCACTTTGTTGATCAATGTCTTAACATAACCAGTAACTGAAGGCATGTATTCTATAAACGCATTAATAAATATTCTGCACCCCAAATGTCGGGAACCTTTAATATCCCTTGGCTGCATTTTTTGCCAGTATGTATATAAAATGTTTCATGTGTGGTATGTGTTTACCCTAAATATTCCAAGACCTTCTGAGACGCGATTTGTATACAGCCCGGGATTTGTATAATGTCGGGAAGCTTTAATTCCCTTGGTTGCGTTTTTTTTTTTTTTTTTTTTTTTTTTTTTTTTTTTTACAGTATGTATAAAATGTTTCGGATGTGATGTTTACCCGAAATATTCCAAGAGCTTCTGACACGCCATTTTGTATACAAACCAATTTTCCTACTCCTAGCAATAAGAACATTTGCTAGTAAGAGTGTTGGTAACCCATCTCAGTCGTTATCTAGCTACTATCAACATAACAACCCAGGAAACTTGGATATCATCAGAAACTTACAACTTAAAAAAAATGAATGAAATATGGAACAAAATACACACCTGTCAGATATGTGAATGAAAAATTTTGCTTAAAAAATATAGAAAAAAAATTAACGAATTGATAATAAAGAGTAGCATTCAATTTAGTTTACCTAATACTGTTTTTTCGAACTGGAAGGACAAATTAAAACTAAAATCAAACTTTAAAAATTTAATAGTACTTTAAAATTGGCCCAAAATATTGTATACTATTAAAAATTTTAAAACGCAATTTACAATCACTAAAATAGATTGTAGTATTATTTGAAAAATTTACTACAAACAAATTCTTCAAACAGAACATAAAAAGCCGATATTTTCCAACTAACTACCCAACTGAGACTACAATAATAAACAAAATAAAACTCAGCATTTCTATAATACTCATTTAATAGATTCGCTAACCTTTATGCTCTTCCTAAGTTTCATAAATCCCCATTTAAATTCAGATTCATAGCGAATTGCACTATTAGCTACAAGAAAAATATAGACTATATATTTGCACAACTTTTAAAAAGGATCTGTATCTTAATTTTCACTACTTGTTAGACAGAAAACCATTTTTGTTGAATTATTAATACTAACATTGCTGAATTTAATACCTTAAGACTACCAATGTACAAAATATTAACTGCAATGACTTAGAAAAATTATATACTTCTCTTCCATTAGAAGAAATAGTTAATAGTCTACTCTAACTCCCAAAATTATTTCGTTCAGTACTCATTGTTCTAGACTTTCAAAACTGAAAAAAATTCCTTCACTGCACTACATTTACTAATTACATTAAATTTGATAATCAACTTTTTAAACAATTAAAAGGAATACCAATCTGAGCTTATACATCTACGAGTATCTCTAATCATTTTTTTTTTTCTTTATTCAAGAATTTAAATTTCAAAAAGCGCTTTAATAAGAAGGTGTAATTTACTATGTGCCTATTTTCAGATACTTTGATGATCTTATCAGTTTTAACAATTAAAAAAATACAAAATTCTCAAATTTATTCCGAAAGTCTCATTTTTAATAAAACTAATTCTTGACAGAGCGTTGACGAATTTCTAGATCTTCAAATAGTTAACTATACACACACAGAAACACTATGAGAAAAACACGAGCTTTAAATTTGCAACTAATAAATAAATTAATTGGACTTACAACATTTTCAAAAAAGTAAGTAGTAACAAAGTCATTGGTCAAACACATTGATTCCAAAATATTTGTACAGATACAATATACTTGATATTCAAAACGAAATATTAATACTAATTCAGATACTTAAAAATAATTTATTACCAGATAAATTTGTAAATTACTATCTTAAGAAAGCAAGTTTTAAATACTATATTTAAGCCTGTTAACTAATAGCATTATGATAATTTATTCCTCATTTCATTTACAGCCATTTCGCTTTAAAATTTGCAGACAAGTAAGTTAATTTTCGTTTCCTTCCTGGCATTGTTCTTAATTAGTACGTAAATGTCTATTTTAAGTTAACATATTAATTTAAAGGAATATATAAATTCTGATTTTACTTTTGATTTTGAAATTAACATTTTAATCTGTCAGAAAGAAGAGATTTTATTTTTACTTTCGATTTTGGGTTTAATTATAAAAGAACGTTTTAATCTAAAATAATATACTCAGTTTATTTTTGATTTTGAAATTAACGTTTTAATACTAAAGAATCTATAAATTTTATTTTTACTTATGATTTTGAGTTTGAATATAAAAGAAAATTTTAATCTAAAATAAATGTATTCATTTAAGCATTTTTTCATTGTCTTCTTTTATATATCTTAATTTGTACAAATATCGATAATTTTTTTAATTACTTTTACGATACCATGAGAGAGCGGAGGAATGTTTTTTCTAAAATAAGATAAGAAATAGCTGATGAAGCGTGAAGTACGATTGTTAGAACCCCGCCTCAGTTGTTATCTTTCTTTTCTATCTTTCTTCTTATACTTGCAAAAAGGTTGGGAAACTAAATTGAGCTGGGATGCAGAGCTACCTGAAGATATCAAAAGAAAATTCTTGAAGTGGGTCAAAGAATTGCCTTTGTTATCATCTGAGAAGATACCCAGACTACTTTCATTGATAGAAGGACAATCTTTTAGTTTGCATACGTTTGCCGATGCTTAACAGGGATCTTATGCAAGTGCAGTATATTTAAGAAGTCAAAATATAGAAGTTAAAGTGACGCTACTGCAAGCCAAAGCACGAGTAGCTCCCTTGAAAAAAATAACTATACCACGACTTGAATTGGTTGCTTTTCTTATTGGGGTGCGATCAGCCTCATTTGTCAAGAAGAACCTTATGGTAGAAATTCCAAAGGAATATTACTGGACAGATTCTTCAACAGCACTATTCTGGATAAAGAACGTAGAAGTTTGGACCACTTTTGTGAATAACAGAGTTTCAGAAATTAGAATCCTATCGGACCGTGAAAATTGGCATCATGTACCAGGTTCGGAAAACCCAGCCGATATGCCATCAAAAGGATGTTCTGTGAAGAAACTCATTGAATCAAGATGGTGGGAGGGCCCACCTTGGTTGGCACTGCCGGAAAAAGAATAGCCTCGTTCTATCAAAATCGATAATAAAGAAGAGGTTAATACTGAAAAACGGAAAGCAGTTATAGTTTCGTTAAGCTATGTTAGCGATATGTCTTCACAGTTCTTTGGCTATTTTTCAAAGTATAAGAAAGTACTTATAATAATTGGGTGGATACACAGATTCATACTAAATATCCGAAAGAGGAAAAAAGAAAGAGAAGCAGGAGAGTTAAAAGTTTATGAAGTTGACAAGGGTTGAGAAATCTTGTCGTGAAGATTATTCAACGTGATTATTTTTCATCTGATGATATTAGGAAGCTGAAGTCAATAAGTGTGTTCAAAGATGACGAAGGCATTTTACGTGTAAGGTCTAGGTTGACTGAAATTGACCATGAAAATTTTATTTATCCCATGTTACTTTCGAAGAATTATAAGATTGTGGAGAAATTGATAATTGATAAACATTTCTCTATGTTTCATGCAGGAATTCACGTACTGATGTTAACACTTAGCGAGACGTTTTGGATCCTAAAAAAGCAGAGCTACGATTCGAAAAGCTTTATATGCACGTGTCAGGTGAAGGAGACATGGAGGTAAACGACTACAGACTGTGCCTGCTACTCTACCAGAAAACAGAGTTAGAGATGCTTGTGTTTTCGAGATTGTCGGCGTTGATTTAGCTGGCCCATTAATTTTGAAGGATAAAAGAAAATGCTTGGATCTTACTTTTCACATGTGCTGTTTTCAGGGCGGTCCATTTGGAACTGATTTTGTCCCTTTCAACTCAAGGATTTTTACTTTGCCTTAGAAGATTTGTTGCTCGTAGAAGAGGCCATCGATAATTTATAGCGACAAGGGAAACAATTTTGTCGGATCCAATAATCTCTTGAGATCGATTAATTGGAATGCCATCGAGACAGAAGCCGCCACAAACAAGATCGATTGGAAGTTCAGTCCACCCGTAACACCATGGTGAGGGGGGCTTTGGGGAATTGGGGAACGACTTGTTCAAATGATTAAGAAGCGTTTGCATCGAGTCCTAGGCCAGTCATGTCTGAATTATGAAGAACTGATAACTGTGCTGTGGCGACTGCGAAGCAATGTGAATGCCCAGACCACTCATTATGTGTCAGAGGACTCTGATGATCTCATCCCTTTGACACCGTCCTTGTTTTTAGGTGAAATTCCAGTTTTTGGAGTTCCTGACTTGGATCATCTTGATAAAGTTGATTTCAACAAGAGACTGAGACATTTACAGAATTTACGAGAGCTCTTGAGAAAGAGATTTAGAAATGAATATCTCGGCCTGCTAGTGCAATGTCCATCTACAGTGCCGATTTCTCAACAGATAAAAGTCGAGAATATAGTTCTTATCGAATGTGATGACAAACGCAAGGTGTTGTGGCCTCTAGCAAAAGTGATTGAATTATACCCCGAAAAAACAGCAACATTCGATTAGTTAGTGTCAAAACCATGTCTAGAGAATTAGTTCAACCAATCCAGAGAGTATTATTCCCTCTCGAAATACCTTCATCTTTGGAGTCAGATGAGGGAAATGAAACTGAGACGCAGGGTGAAGACAGTTTAGTCTCAAAATTACAAGGATGCATCATTTCAGAGGAAAAAGAAAGGAGTCAAAAGTTTGAGTTCGAGTTAGAAAACGTTTTGGTCTACAATTATTTGACTGGGCAAGAGGTAATGTGATCCTACGTGGCAATACGAGGAAGGTGATCCTACGTAACGCATTAAGCGTTACGCAGGATCACATGATTAATTTAAATGGCGCAGTTTAGACTTATAGCGTTATTTTTAAGACTTTTTTAAGACAGAGAAATGAAGTCCCCAAATTAAATTTTAAAAAAAGAGGTTATAGCCAATTAAAATTAGAAGTTTGGTTTTATATTTTTTATTCTACATACGAGTATGTATACTTTTGATGCAGCCAATTGAAACCAAAAAGGGAGATGCAGGACTACATGTTGTAGTAGTCCTAGATACAAAATTTCAATGTTCTAAGGCTACACGTTTTATGCGTTATGCGAGATACATACCTAACTACGTACATGCAGATGTCAAGAAGAAATCTCTTCTGAATCCAATTTACAAACGGTTTGGGGAAACCGTCCGTACGTAAATCTGTCACACAAAAATATCGTTCATATGGTTTCAAGCGCGGCGAAATTAATATTTTCGTTGAAATATGCCCCGAAATTTTTCGCGATTACAATACTTCCTTTACTTCGTACAAGGAAGTAAAAATTAATTCAAGAAAAAATTTGGGGATACTTCAACGCTCCACTATAGTTAAGGAGTCAACATTTAAGGCATTACATTCCGTACGTGTACAGATGCATATGTAAGGTTATTTAAAATTCGGATTACACATAGGTTTTCAGTTCTGGCTGAATTTGTGCTACAAAATTCTCTTAGTTTATACACATATCGGCTTTCGTTCGATAACCGAATAGCATGCAATTGGTTGATTTAAACGTGAAGAATTCTTGTAAAAAATTGAGATTATGTAAAATATTTTTTTACGTTAACATAGACGCAAATAACAAACAATTCATAAACCATCATTTACATCTATACAGAGGCTGATTGCACATATACACGTTACACATGGGGAAAAACATGAAAATATTTTTTTACGTTAATATAGACGTAAATAACAAACAATTCATAAACCATCATTTACATCTATACAGAGGCTGATTGCACATTTTTAGATGATTTTCATTGGATGAACCAGAATACTTTACCTAAAATTTGTGTGTTCTGAATGTTTTGTTTGGTAACTCTTGTTCTTCAGTACCTTTCTATACCATAATTCCTGCTACCCCAGGACAGTAAAGATTTTTGTGGTATTGGAAGAGGTATTTTATTTCATTCCTCTTGAACAGCTTTCCAAAGTCCATGGAAATTCGTAGGTCGACATTTGGACAATTCGCTTTTTAAAATTCCCCTAAGTTGCAAAAATCCATGGATGATGCATCAGGAGATTTATAGGTATATGAATGAAGTGTATGGCCTTGATAATTACCAGGTTCTTGTTCTATTTTTTCTAGGAAATTAAGTGGCTTTTGACGCACGGCCGCTTGTTTTGCCTTGAAGTAGTGCCACTGAATGATCGCGCGGTGGATAAAGTGGTGTGGTGTGGTGTATTTAATTATGGCAAAGCACACTAGGGCTATCTGCCTAAGGGGAGGGATGCCTTCGTGGAGGACTTTCTAAGGGAAACTGGCTCGTATACACGTTACACATGGGGAAAACCACAAAAACACCATGCAGCCAGCCCGTTCGCGGGATTCGAACCTCGGACCGAACTACCAGTGTTCAGCGACTTTACCGCTCGGCCGCTAGTGGGCCCGCGGTGGATAAAGAGAAGGTATTTGATATTTGAAAACTGGGCATAAAATATATTCTTGATAATATGTGTAGTTGATCTTAACTTTTTTTCCTATTCTGTTTATTCTTAATTGCCCTTATATGAAAAAACAGCAACAATAATAAATCCCTTAGAAAAACTCGCTTTAGGTTTTTTGAACCACGTTTTAAGACTTTTTTGTTTTGAGGATAATAAATAGGTATATATTTATTGCATTCCTTTTGCACACCAATATATTGTGCAAAAATATTGCATCTTTAATATTGTGACAAATGTTTCCCTTTTTTTGTTCGCATAAATGTTTCTCATAAAGAATTCTCCATCGCGTCCTGCTTTCGACGGTATGTCGTGGAGAAAGACGATGCCCATTATGTTTTATCGCCTTTTTAAGATAGCGCCCACAAGCGGCGGAGCGGTAAAGTCGCTGAACACTGGTAGTTCGGTTCGAATCCCGTGAACGGGCTGGCTGCATGGGCGTTTTCGTGTTTTTCACCATGTGTAACGTGTATATAAGCTAGTTTCCCTTAGACAGTCCTCCACGAAGGCATCCCTCCCCTTAGGCAGATAACCCTAGTGTGCTTTGCCGTAATCTCAATAAACCAAACCTTTTAAGATACAAATCTGAACTATTCCATTTTCCCCTTGAATATGTATTTGGAACAAATTTTCCTCTGGAAGCTAAATTTTGATGATTTTGTTCCCCTTTCTTGTTGAAAATATTAACTATCTTAGCTTTACATATCGAAAAACTATGGTTTTTACAGCGTTGTTTAATAACTAGATACATATATTTTCTTCGGAACCGAGCACAAACATAGCCTTATATCGATTGCTTCTTTAAAACCGCCATTTGGCATGAAAACAAAGCTGTAACGGATGATAATTTATACTTTCAAAAATTTGATTGCATTAAAAAAAAATAATTCCAGACGATTTTTCTTTATAACAAAGCAAAATCATCCAAAAAATGTACGAACAGCCTATGTATTAACATGAAAAATTGCTACTTATGTCGTTAAAAGCTAAATTTGCTTATCACACTTAATTTGATTCCTCAGTTTAAAAAAATAATAAAAGAATTTCTTACCTTAGAAGATTTTCGAAGGCTGCAGGATTCATACCAACAATTGTAATTGGATTATTTTTCTCTTGCATTGGTCCATAGAACATAGCTTCGAAGACGGGACTGCCAAAGGCCAGCACACATTTGTGAGCGTGGAAAATCTGCTTCACATCTTCACATCCAATAATGAAGGAGACATCCGTGAAACGACCCGTTTGTCTCGCCTTTCCCCATGCTTCAGTCACATTTTTAGAACCTGACCTCCAGCCACCTGAAAAAAGATACTTTTAATATTTTCTTCAGAAGATAGATGATTGTTTCTTTAATCAGTTACGGCCAAGGATGGAAGGCCTATCAAGCTTGAACACTCGCTATCTTTGAAAAAAAAAATGAATATGAACTATTCACATAAATACACATAGTGGCAAAGTATTAAGCTGCTGAAATGATGTAAATAAAAAATAAAAACATGTATTTAGAACAATATTTTGCAGCTCCACTCCAAAATTTTTTCCGAAACTCTGATTGGAATGGACTTAGAATAAAAAAAATAGTGAACATGCTTTTCCTTACTTAAATTTATTTTTGTTTTTTGTTTAAAATTTCCTCTTGATATAATTACTTCCGAATTTTAGCTTGTAAGGATCTTAAGTTTTACTAACGTTTATTTTATTTTAAATCTTTACTATCACTTCTTATTTTCTACTTCCGGCCAGAATTATAAGCGTGAAGGAGTTTATGCAAAGTTTGTCTGGCGAACGCCAAGTATTTAAGTGTGGCCTTTTTGCCAAGCAGAAGAGAGGAAGCAGTGAGTTCGAAGCAGGCCGCTTACCTTAGAAGTTACGCAGTTGCTACTTTGCCTTCCAGGCCAGAGGTTTTAATCCTCTTGATAAATTAAACGTATTGTAGTGTTCACAGTCTCTGTGCTACATACGCTTCCTGTTATTATAAGGCCAATCTTATTCTAAAGTTAAATTAGAGTTTAGTTTTATTTTGATATCTTTTACGTTAGACCCCGAGTGGAGGGTCATTGTATTCCGAAGTACGGAAGTCATTGTATATAAAGAAAAAATAAAGGGTTTTGTATACCCTTCGTCTGTATCCTGTCTACTTACTACAATTAGTGAACATAGCTTTAGTAAGCTCTCTGTTCCTAGTCAGGTCATTGTATGTTTCCGAAGAAGGTTAGAAGAAACATTGAACCTGATAGTGGCGCCCGACGAAGAATAACCATGGCCGAGTTTCAAGAAGAACCTGTGCTGCCTGCAGAAACGGCTCAGAATCCAGAAATGCCAGCTGCCGCCCTGGAAGGATTTGGGTACATCGTCCAGACCATGCGCGCTTCGATGAAACCAGAAGCAACGTTTAATGGAAACTCACCAGGTAACCAGTTTTTTGGAAAAATTGGATGACCACTTCATGCTCTACCCCGTGCACGAGTTTCAAAAAGTTACCTTAGCTACCAGCGCTTTGAGGGGCCAAGCGCTTAACTGGTTCAAATGTATCGGCAGAAGCAGAAGTCTCTTGGGTCAAAGCAGGAAGTCCCACCTATACTTACGAAAATTTCAAGACTGCCCTACTAAAAGCCTTCCCTGTTGTAAGGGATCGTGCGAAATTAGAAACAGAACTTTTCAGTATATATCAACAAAGAATGGAAAACCTCTCTCGAGCTTTATTTTAAGAAAAATTCACGTTTTCAAGCTCTTGTATGGAAACCGTCCGGATCCTGAAATAATTCAAGTGATTTTGCCGAGGTTACTACCCCAAGTGCAAGACTTTATTGAATTGAGAAATCCGACTACACTGGAAAAAGTTATTTGAGCTAGCAATCCAGTTTGAAAGTAGAAGAACGGCGGACGTCGAAAGAAGACGCCAATATCAACAGCGAAACCAATTTGGTACGCCAAGACTACAGCAAACTCAAGCACATGGCTACGGACGGAGAAAAAGCGAATCAGTGGGCAAGGAAACCCGAGCATTCAAAAACAGCCGGCGAACGTCGACAGTTCAATAGCAACCCAGGAAAAAAGTCTCAAGGCCAGTGGAAAAGAAGGAAAGCACCGAAAGGAAAAAATAATTTAAACTAAAACGGATTTCTGCTGACGAGAGGGTGCGGAAATCCGAAGGCCACGAAAACCCCTCTTCCTACAAGTTAAATACAGTAATGGTGAAAAATTTAACTCTTCCGAAGATTGAAGTCTTGGTAAATAATATCCCGGCCACCGCACTCCTGGATACCGGCGCGCAGTGTTCCTGTGTGGCAGAAGTCTTTTTTAGAAAGTATTTTCGCAAATACCGCATATATAATGCGGATAATACAACAGTATTAGCGGCGCAAGGAGAAACAATGTAAGTGCGTAGGTAAAGTACCTTTGTACATCCGTATCAAGGACGAACAAGTAAAGGTGATGTTTTTTATAGTAAAGAATTTGCAAGCACATTTAATACTAGGAATAGACTTTCTTTCAGACGCACAAGCTACACTGGATTTTAATGAAGCGTCCCTTAAGCTGACGATGAAACCAGTGCGTGTAGAAAAGGTTGAACCGCCAAGGTTAAATCTTGACCACCTGCCTAATGACGAGCAAGATAGAATCCGACAAGTGGTAAGTGAATTTGCTTCCTTATTTAGTGATATTCCAGGATTTACTCAGGTTACTAACCATAGTATTGACACCGGAGATGCATTGCCGGTTCGTCAAAAACCATACCGGTATGATAAGAATAAGGAAAAAATTATAGAATGGCATATTACCGATATGCTACGTAAAAAGATCATAACGCCCTATCTCAAGTAGTTATGCTAGTCCGGTGGTTTTATGTAAGAAAAATAATGATTATCCTTTGGAGCATCCAAAAAGGTGGAGATTCGCTATTGATTACCGTAAATTAAATTCCATAACGAAATATCCGGTATATCCGTTACCGATTATAGAAGAAATTTTAAGGAACATAAAATCAACCAAATTTATGACGACTTTAGACTTAACGAATGGTTATTTTCAAATAGGGATCAGGCCTGAGGACGTGCCTAAGACTGCTTTTATAACCAAGTCTGGCACTTATGCATTTTTGCGTATGCCGTTTGGCCTTTCAGGCGCCCCAGCAACATTTCAGCGATGCATGGACATTGTGTTAAGACCTGTTCTTGGAAAGTCCACATTTATCTATTTAGACGATATCATTATTACTAGTGATAATCTCGACCAACATGTACAGGATTTAAGACAGGTGTTTTCTTTATTAAATGAGGCCGGTCTAAAAGTTAATGTCGAAAAGTGCAAATTTGCAGCCCCTGAATTAAAATATTTAGGTTACAAAATATCGCAAAAAGGGATCGAGACAGATGAATCAAAAATAATCGCTGTACAAAAGTATCCGACTCCAAACACGGCAAAGAAGCTCTCTTCTTTTCTAGGACTTTGTTCATATTATAGGTCCTTTATAAAAGATTTTGCGGCTATCGCTGAGCCATTGTTAAAATTAAAAAGGAAAAAGGCAAGATTCTCGTGGACGGCCGAAGCCAATAGTGCTTTCGAAAAATTAAAACAAGCATTAACGCAAGCCCCTGTGTTGAAATTTCCTGAAAAGGATGAAAATTTAGAAATTTCAGCGGATGCTTCGGATTATGCGGTAGGAGCGGTACTTTCGCAAAATCAGCAGCCCGTGGCATTTTTTAGCCGAACTTTAAATCAAACACAAAGAAACTATTCCGCGACCGAGAGAGAGGCACTTGCAGTTCTGTTAGCAGTGCAAAAGTTCCGAGTCTATTTTGGAAAGGCGCCGATAACAGTATATTCTGATCATGCGGCGGTAACTAGATTGTACTCAGGGAAAAATTTATCCCCAAGGTTAATAAGATGGGCACTCAAGCTGCAAGAATATAATCTGGTAATCAAGCATACCCCCGGAAAGGAAAATATCGTAGCAGATGCCCTATCACGAATTAAATTAGACGAACAGGGTAATACCGTAAAAGTTGCAATGCTGACAGCGTGTACAATAAATTCCCGAGAAACTGTAATAACCGAACTGGGTAAGGATCCTGAGTTTGGAAGTATTTATGAGTATTTGAAGGATCCTGAAAATTTTAGCCACCAAGATATTGTGGCGATAAGAAATAGGGCGGCCCATTACGAACTAATAGATGGTCTATTATTTATACAAAAACTACGAATTCCAACAACGAATTTCGACCTGTTATCCCAGCTAGTCTTAGATTAAATATCCTGCAAGAGCTCCATGACAGCCCTTTAGCTTCTCATGCTGGTATTCGAAAAACTATCCAACGCGTACGCGAGGCAGTCTACTTTCCTGAACTGCAAAAGTTAACAAGGGCGTATGTCCAGTCCTGCCCAACATGTCAAGCCGTTAATTATATTAATTTCCGCCCGGCCGGGTTTCTAAATAGTATTAAATCCGAATTTCAAAATGAAAAATATTCGGCATCGATTTATTGGGCCCTTTCCCAAAAAGTCAGTTAAACAAAAGTCGCTATCTCCTTGTTATGGTTGATCATTTTAGTAAATGGACCGAAATTGTTCCCTTAAAACGAGCCTCCGCGAAATTAGTTACCGATTCTATTTTAAATAAATATATTTTAAAATACGGGGCGCCCCTAAAAGTTATATCGGATAATGGTCCTCAATTTGTAAGTAATATATTTGAAGACATGTGCCAAAAACTGGGCATACGTCATTTAAAAATGGTCCCGTATCGGCCGCAATCAAATATAGCGGAACGGGTCAACAGAAATATAGTGAAAATTATCCGTAGTTATGTTAAAAATTTTCATAAAAGCTGGGATAACTATGTCAATGAATTTGCTTTCGCCCTTAGGACCGCAAAACATGATACAACGGGCAAAACTCCTGCTGAGTTATTTCTAGGCAGAAAGATTATAACACCGTTAGATAAACTATTTTATGTGCAACAAAGAGCCCCAGAATTTAAAATGGGTGATATAGAAAAACTAATAAAAGAAGCAAAAAGAATACGGAAGTAGCACAAAGAAAACAAAAATTGTATTATGACTTGAAACGACGGGGAGTAACTTATAAAGTAGGGGATGAAGTTACTAAAAATTAAGCATTCACTTTCTTCAGCACCAGAAGATAAAACTGCCAAATTTTTTCCACGCTTTGAAGGACCATATGTTATAGAAAAAATAACTCACGCTGTTGTAGTGTTAAAGCAAGCAAGAAATGGTGAAACCTGTTCCGCAAACATTGATCAAATCAAGCCCTACTTCGATCGTAATAAAATGCAAAT